TGCAGTGGCCATGGGCATATCTCTGTTACTGGAGCTCCCCAGGGAATAGCTCAAGTCTGGTCAGTGCCTCCTAAAAGGGAAGCTGTCCTTTGCTTGCTTGGACTGGAGAGGATAAAATGGCAACAAAGAACTTCTGTTACCCAAAGCACAGTGACTTGATTTCATGTAAATCACCATGGCTACCTTCTCATCAAGTATGATCTTCCCTTAGATTGAGAAGTTGTGTTGGGGTGGGTTGTGGGTTAGGGATGTGAGAGTGCTTGTGTGTACATGTGTCAGTAAGTGGAGTACCCAGGTGCAGGGTCAAAGCCAAACCATAATGATTTATCAGGGGAGCAGAAGAGTCTCTTAAGAGTTGGTAATTGTGTACTTAAGGGTTACTTGATACTGTTTTAAATGTATGGGTTGGAAATAAAAACAGTAAAAGCTCTCTGAACTCAGCCAGTGTGAGGTAGATGGCAAAACAGTGCAAATGATAGATCAGTGAAAAGCGATTATAGTTCATTTTCAAGAAACACATCTCATTCTAAGAATGCTAAGTGATCTTAGTCTTGGTGCTTTTGTGAATTTTGCACTAACTATATGGAAGGGGCTGCTGTCATGTGCTTCTCAGATTGGGTCCTTCTGTTTTAGTTTTACACCTTCTCTCATTTATTTAAATATTTATTGAGCACAGTTGTGTGTCACAGTTCTGGGTGCTTGAAATAAAATCAAGCATCAGACATCCCTGCTCTTTGTGGCATTTACACTATTGTGTGAGAAAGTCCACAGACACAGTAGCTGTGTTGTATAGAGTGTGGAAAGAGAAGGAGCAGCATAGGAGTATAGTTAGCAGGTTGGCCCTCCACAAGACACTGGAGCAAAGACAGCAACTGAGGGGACACGAGTGTCAGCCACCTGAAGGGTAGGATGGTTGAACCAGACAGCAACTTAGTGCAGACTTGCAACTACCTCCAGGACAGATAAATGTAAATCTCTTCTAAAAAAATGGAAGCGCTGGATATATACTGCATAATTATATTTTTAAAGGTCCTTTATAATTTGGAATGCAGATTAAGGAATAATTTTTCTTTCTTTCTTTCTTTCTTTTTTTTTTTTTAAGATGTGGTTACTTTGTTGTCCAGACTGACCTTGAGCTCCTGGGTTCAAGTATTCCTACTGTTTTCCAGCCCCTGCCCCCCAGTAGTTGGGACTACAGGTGCACACCACAGCACCCTTGGAAGAGTTGATTTTAAAATGACAGTTGCTGTGATTTTGTTTAAAACATAAAAACAAAAAACAAAAAGCCCATTGGAAAGGTGCCTGGTGTGGGAGATATGGGGCATGGTATCAGGAGGCCAGTAGGGCTGGAAGAAGTTAAGGATGGGGTGTGGTGGGTTGATAGGTACCCAGTGGGCCTTCCGGGTCAGGAGAGGACAGAGTTTCATGCTGAATGAACTTTTATTTTGGGGGTGGAGGTTGTACTGGGAATTGAACTGGAGGGCACTCCACTACTGAACCACATCTCCAGCCCTATTTTGTATTTTATTTTATTTTTGATATTTAGTTTTTAGGTGGACACAATATCTTTATTTTATTTTTTTAATGTGGTGTTGAGGATCGAACCCAAGGCCCCGCGCATGCCAGGCGAGCGTGCTACCGCTTGAGCCACATCTTTTGTATTTTATATTTAGAGACAGGGTCTCACTGAGTTGATTAGCACCTTTTGCTGAGGCTGACCTTGAATTATGATCCTCTTGCCTCAGCTTCTGAAGCTGCTGGGATTACAGGTGTGCGCCATCGGGCCCAGCTGTACTGAATGAACTTTTTTTTTTTTTTTAAAGAGAGAGAATTTTAATATTTATTTTTTAGTATTTGGTGGACACAACATCTTTGTATGTGGTGCTGAGGACCGAACCTGGGCCGCATGTATGCCAGGCAGCGCGCTACCGCTTGAGCTACATCCCCAACCCCCCTGAATGAACTTTGAGCTAAGGACTTGAACAAGCTAATCGAGTTTGGAAGTGCTTGTGCTGGCAGGGAGAGAATACATGATCATTGGTAGTGTGGGAAGTGGTTGGAATTCCAGATGTATTTGATGGGAGTACCATCAGGATTGCCTATAGGATGCATATTGGGGGAATTTCAAGAGGGCAATTCTAGATTTCAGTCTGGTTAACTGGAAGAATGGATTTGTCACAAACTGGGGAAAGCTTGAAAGACTGAAGTTTGAAAGACTGAGGTGCCTTAAAACTTGCATATTACACTATATCCCCTGGTGCACTGTTATGTTGTGATTTTTGGGTGTTTTGTGGTTGCACAGAGCCCAGTACTTGGATCTTTGTTGAAAATGAGTTATTCCCACATGAGTGGGTCTGTTGTTTGTTGATCTACTTGTTTCTGTGTACATATCACAGTCTTAGTTATTGAAGCTTTATGGTAGGTCTTGAAATTAGGTAGGGTATATCAAATTTGTCCATTTTTCAATGTTCTCATTATTCTAGGTCCTTTACATTCTTATATACTTGCTTTTTGTACATGCTTGGGATTGAACCCAAGGCCTTGCACATGCTAAAGCACATGCTTTACCACTAAGCTACACCCTCAGCCTTTACCTAAAATTTAGAATTTCAATGAAATTCCTATTATTTCTGCAAAAATGTCTGCTGAATTTTTTTATTGGGATTATGTTGAATTTATAGATATATTTGGGAGAGAAATCAATATATTCTAGCATTTCTCTCCATTTAAGTTTTCATTATAATTTCTTTATTCTTATGTATTTCACATATTTATGCTAATGTAAATTGATTTTTTTTTAAGACCTTGCGTTCTGGTTGTTGCTAGTATGTAGAAACAAAGTTGACATTGGTATACATATGAGGGCATTGTAAGTCATGACACTGACTTAAAATGGGACAAAATCCATCATAATTGGAAATATTATAAAAATAAAAAATGCAGCCAGGTGTGTTGGTGCATGCCTGTAATCCCAGTGACTCAGGAGGATGAGGCAGGAGGATCACAATTTCAAGGCAGTCTCATCAACTTAGTGAGACCCTGTCTCAAAATAAAAAGGTAGGGGATGGATGTGGCTCAGTGGTAAGTACCCCTGGTTTCAATCCACAGTGACTTAAAAATAAAATAAAAAATGCATTGAATCTATCTAACCTACTGAACAAACATCCTACCTTGATAATACGCCACACTGTAGTATCAGTTGTTTCCTCTGTTTGTTAAAGGACCCATAGGGAGTTGCAGTGTGTGCTGCTGCCTACCATTTTGAGACGGGATTGAACTTCACATCACCACCCCAGGAAAGGTCTGAATTCAAGATTAGAATTATGTTTTTCTACTGCATTGGTAGTGCTTCTATAAAGTTGGGGGAAAAAGTTGCTTCTTGTAAAGTTGGAGAAAAAAGCCAAAGCATTCTAAGATGGGAATAGTATGTTTTGACCTTAGTAGTCCTGTAATAAAGCAGGTGCTTGGCAAGTATGGGTTCTGGCTTTGGAGATTTTTCCACTTCTGCAGTAAAGAGGCTTCATTTTAAGTATAGAAGAAACCTTTGGGTTTCCCAGACTGAATGGAGCCAAAAAGAATGGTAGAAAGTACCTCTCTTGTGAAGCTTGCCTCCTGGTGTCTATGGTCAACCCTGGACCTCTTTTAGGAGGGTGCCTTGTGTTCTTTTGTTCCTCTTTCAACAGAGTTCACTGGCATTTGCTGTCATCCTTATTTTGCAGGTTTTTCTGTAGGCGTGTTTCTTGCTGCCCATGACCTGTGAATTCCTGTGAACCCAGTTTAAAAATAAAGGTTTCATATCAGAGAAAGCTCCTGGTAGTCATATGGGTGCAAAGAATGACAACAGAGGTGATGTTGACACTATCTGTCAAGCTATAACGAACAGGACTAACTGTTGGGAGTCTGGGATTTGACCAATTCACTAGGTTCAGCCTCTGGCCCACAGCCCTGGATGTCTGACTCCACAAACCAGGAGTGGATGCCCTGGGGCTATCCTGTCTCGGTGACCTTGAGAGAATTCCTGAACATTTTTCTTCTGATGCTGGGGATGGAATCCACGACCTTGCACAAGCTAGGCAAATGCTCTGCCACTGAACCAGACATCTACCCTTTTAAATGTTCCTGAGCCTTAGTTTTCCTGCCTGTACAATAGGCAGCCCCTTCCTCCCTGGGTAGTTGTAAACCCTGTGGATATAATCCCTGAGGTTAGAGGTAAAGCTGCTTCTATCTGGGGAGGTGAAGTCTGTCCATTCCCAATCACATTGTTTTCCCATCTTTCTTGAGAACAAACCCAACACTGCCTGGAATGGTGGGTGACTTTCTCGGGCCAGTGCCTAAGAGGCTACTTTTGGATAGGATTCTTGAGTGAGCTCTTAGCACTACTACCTGTGTGCTCTGTGATCCTGGTAAATCTATATACATCAGATCCCTTATCTATAAAATGTGCATGATCCTGTAACCTACCCTTAATGTTGTCTTGGGGATTTAGATCTATATGGTGTTCAAGCATAGTATCAGGAACACACTGTTAAGCATCTGTTAAATGCTGGGTTAACAGCAATTATTATTTCTGTTATTAATGTCACTACTGTTGTAACAAAAATTCAAACCATTTATCTGTGCATTCAGTATGTAAAAGGTAGAAATAATTTAATTTCACATGACTCTTTACCACCTTCACATCTCCGTTTATAGTGGTGAAAACAATGCCTGGAATGATTGGTGTTTATTGGCTGTCCTCATATTGGTTCATACCTTGGAATAGATAGAAGTTTATTTCTTCAGCTTGCCCCTGTTATGGAAGGCTTTTCCAGTGGTTGGAGATACTTTATTTATTTTTTTTTATAGTGCTGGGGATGGAACCCAGGGCCTTGTGCATGGTAGATAGGTAAGTGCTCTATCATTGAGCTGCACATTTTGTCCTGGAGACATTTTAAATTGCCAGTATATTCCAGAATCCTTCCTTGGGAACTCAGCATTTCTTTTTTTGTCCTTTGGTTTAGGTTGGTCAGCACATTGATGCAAGTTGTCTTTTGACATAGCTGTGGCCATGGCCAACTGGTAGGACCAGTGCTTCTCGTCCTATACCCTGAGGCCAGGTGAGTGCTTGGGGTCTGGTATGTGTGGAATGAAAAGCTCTAAATTGTTCAGTGGGCCTCAGTAGCTCCTTGGGCACTTTTAAGTAAGCACTGCCTCAGAAACTGACAGCCACCTTCTAGAGAAGACAGGAAGGCATGTTGCTGTGGGATTGCACTCTTTGCTGTCTCCATCTAACCCTGAGTTTCTGGGTAAAGATAACATTCCCATTGGTCACTGTTTTTGAAGCCTGATCCTAAATAGGATGGTCCCACTCTCTGTGAGGATCAGAGGTAGAGGGTAATTCCAGCCAGATGGCCTTTGCCCTCTGGCCATTCCTGTAGTTTCCCAATGCTGCTCTAAACGTTTAAGAATTTTTCCTTAATCACTGTGCAGTGGGGAGCCTTGCACTGGTGCTTGGAGCTGTTCCCCTCACCCTACCCTGTGCCTTGTGGGAAAGCTGATCTGGCCTTCCCTTCAAGGAACTCTTAAAGTGGAGTCCAAATCCAGCAGGTCATATCCTGACACCTGCATGGGATTTTCTCTGTTACCATCAGGGCTTAGCAGTAACATTTTGGCTCAGGGTCACCTACCTGAAAAAGAATATAGAACTGGGCTGGGGATGTGGCTCAAGCGGTAATGCGCTCGCCTGGCATGCGCAGGGCGCTGGGTTAGATCCTCAGCACCATATAAAAATAAAATAAAGATGTGTCCACTGAAAACTGAAGAATAAATATTAAAAAATTCTCTCTCTCCCCTCCTTCTATCTTAAAAAAAAAAAAATATAGAACCGAGATGTCTTAGAATATTGTGGGCAACTTGATCACCTCCTGGGTCAGCTGCTTCCTTTCACAGATTGCAGTGCACACAGTCCAGAGTTGGCAGGTAACTTGCCCAGGAGCTTATCCCCACTCTGGTGGTGTCTTATTGGCTGCTCAATGTCGAGAGCTGGTTTCTCTGACTTGCCTGCTGTGCTGAGTGTGGTATATGACAAGTGTTGAGGTCAGTTTTGTGAGGTTTCAGCTCTTATCTGCCTATGGCAAGAAGATATGGTCAAGCGATCTGGTATTAGGAAATCATTTCTAAGATGGTCTTCTGACAAAACCAAATTCTCCTGGTGTTGTTTTTTTTAAACAATGCTTGGGGTTGAACTCAGGGTCTCATGCATGCTATATCACTTAAAGTATATCATTCACTCATTTAAAGTGTATAATCTCAGTTCTTTTTATATGAGTCTGTATATATACTGAGGAGTAGTTCAACTGTCACCACACTAGTCATGTCCCCCCAAAGAAACCCCATACCTCCTTCCCTAGTTCCTGGTAACCACTAATTTGCTTTCTATCTCTAAATTTTCCTGTTCTGGACATTTCATATTAATGAAATCATGCATAATATGGCCTTTTATATCTGTTTCCACATCTGTTTACAGGTTCATCCACATTGTAGCATCTATTAACACTTTTTTATGTCTTGTTTCCCATTCATTCATGGATGAACATTTGGGTTGTTGCTACTGTTTGGCTGTTGTGAATAGTACTGCATTTAACAATCATGCACATTTTTGTTTGAATGCCTATATTCCATTCTTGTTGGTTTACTCCTAAGAGTGCAATTGCTAGATTATATGTTAGCTCCATGTTAAATTTTTTCTGCAACTGCCAGATTGTTGTCCATGGCAGATGCAGTTTCAGGTCTCCCAACCCTGCTTAGGGATTCTTTGGAGACAAGGACAGATTTGAAGTCTATGTTGGTTACTTAGAGATAGTTGAGGATCCTGCTGTGCTGTCAGGTCACTACTGTTTGGGTGTGTTAGACATTAACATTATATAGAATGAAGAGAAGGACCAGAGATTCAGAATCTTGAAACCATGTACCTCTCAGAGTGTTTGTGTTATAAAGTTTACCTCCTTTGTTCAGGGAAAAGCACCTGCAGCTTGTTCCTTGTTATACACCCCAAGGTATTGTCTGAGGGCTCACTTAAAGTTCTCCAAGCACGGGCACCCCTGCCTGATCTTGGCCCTTTATTAACTCATAAGCACATGTTCTGAGTCTCAAGTACTGGTTGTGAATGCATAGTGGCAACCTCCCTCTTCATTTTAGAGCTGGGAAGACAAAGACAGAACATTATAAATAATCAGTTTGGGAGCTCAGAAGGAAACTTCTAGAGGCCATCTCAGGTTTTCCTTTGGGCCCATCCTCTTCCCTGCCCAGTGCACGGAGGAACTTAATAAAAAAGGACAGAGTTTGTGAATAGTCATGACTTATGATGCTTAGTGTTAAAACAGGCAAAAGCCACCATTGGGTAGTTTTTTTTTTTTTTTTTTAAGATTTGTAAATTTGTGCGTTTTTTGTTGTGATATTTAAGGCAGCTTAGCATACAAATTGATTTTAGGTTTTCTCCATAGAATATAAGTTTGGGCATGTCTCTCTAGCCTGTATCCACTTTTATTTGAAGCTGTGGTCTGTGGTCAGCCAGGTCCTTATTTATTCCTGCCTTGCAGGTCACAGTAGGGGAAAGGATAATTGTGGTATGTCCAGCAGCTCCCTTCCATTCCTGAAGCATACAGATAGTCCACACACAATACCGTACACATATTCCTGTTTATTTCAGTGCACAGACTGTCTTTTCAGGGTTGTGGATGTGATGTTTCCCCCTGAATTTCACTTGTTAGGAGTTTTGTTCATTTGGTTAGGGACACACTGCTCATGTGCTAAAAATTGGACCTTGTGTTGGGTGTTAGGTTCAAGTATAGGTGTGACTTGAAAAGCAGATGCTTCAACAGAAAAAATAATGCAAATGACCCTTGACCAAAGTATGAACAGTACTTAGTCGTTCTGATAATAAGAACTATGTGTGCGGAAAAGTCACCTGGGAAAACATCCAAAGGTGACCACACTGTCCTAGTGGAGAGAGTCAGGCACTTCTGCAGTTGCTTTGGGGATTCCCAACTCCTCAGAGGGGATATGTAGTATCTAGCAAAACCACATACGGGGGGCTGGGGATATAGCTCAGTTCGTAGAGTGCTTGCTTTGCATGCACAAGGCCATGGTTTCAATCCCCAGCACCACAAAAACAAAACAAAAACAAACAACAAGAACCCAAACCACACATGTTTTACCCCCTTGCTCTAGCAATTCAACTTCTAGAAATGTTTCCCCAAGATACACTGTCTAAAATAAGAAATATTTGTGACAGGTTTATTTATTAACCACACTTGGAACTAGCAGAACAGGATGGCAGAGATGTATTTTCCTTCAGGCTGGGTAACTGATGGAGTAAATCTATCAGTGGGTGTAATTGAGACCCTGAGTGAAGGGAGGTAGAGGGATGTCTTTATACGTTGTGGTGACTGGATTTCTAGGTGAAATGACAAGTAGGGAAAAAAGCAAGTTGAAGGAAGAAGAGATGCAGCATGCTACTACTTAACCTAATAAAGTTGGGGGTATACTGTCATTTGTGTATTTGCTATCTGTCTGTCTGTCTGTCTATCTATCTATCTATCTATCTATCTATCCATCCCCCAAAGGAAGTATAAACTAGAAATGAATCACATGATCACTTCCAGGAGGAGCAATGGAGAGATCACTAGAATTCTGAGAGACTTTTCTGTGTCTTTGTGGCCCTATGTGTGTATATTTTGTTTAATTATAAAACTAAAGCTCATCAAGTGGTAGTGGCAGCAGTGGTGGCAGCAACAGAGCAATCCCTAAAAATCATGGACAAAATTAAATAATTGAATCTAGGTATATATTATAGGTATATATTAACTATGACTCAAGCTATTAACTGATTTCTCAGAGAGGATTTATTTCACACAACATTAAATGTTTTAGTGAGATATATCTTAAAGGCAAATAGGTATTATTATTTTTTTGTGTAGGGATAGAACCCCACCTCACACATGCTAGGCAAGGGCGCTCTATTACTGAGTTCAAAACTCTTTTTCAGAATCATGGTTTTAGTTTCAGGGTCACAATACAAACATTATTTCTGTTGTATATTATAGGAGAAAACTTTTTTTCCCTTTGGTGTACTGGAGGATCAAATTTAGGGCCCTGTGAACTAGAGCAAGTGTTCTATGAAGCTATAACACCCGCTGCCACCTGTTCCCCCACTTGGTAATTCTGTGTTGAGACAGAGTCTTGCCAAGCTTCCCAGGCTCAACCTCCTAGTATCTGGGATTTCAGATTTGTATCCCAAAACCTAGAAGTAATGCTCACACATAAGAATAAAAAAATTCAAAATAAAAGAAAACATAAATACAAAATAACAGTATTTAGGTAAAACATAGAATTAGATTGAATTCTAACCATGCACAGTGGTGCATACCTATAATCCTTTAACTTGAAAGCTGAGGAAGGAGGATTACAAATTCAAGGCCAACCTGGGAAATTTAGTGAGATCCTTTCTCAGAAAAAGGGCTGGGATGTAGCTCAGTAGTAGAGTAGCCCTGGGTTCCATCCCAGGTGTACATAAATCAATTAATCAATCATGGGTGGGGGCTAGGAATGTGACTCAGTGGTGGACCAGCACTTGGTCTAGCCTTTTCAAGGCCCTGAATTTGATCCCTAGCTGAAATGGGGGGAAAAAGAAGCCCACAGGTAAGCTTGAGTTTATTAGTAAGTCTACTACTTGTGAGACTGAGGCAGGAGGATTATTGTATCTCTTCCCAAGCAACATGGTGAGTCCCTGTTTCTAATTAATTAATTAACTAACTAATTAATTTTATAAATAAAAATTTAAAGATCCTCAGGCTCATGTTGGTGCTCAAAGGAAGAAACTCATCAGTCCTCTTTAGAAGTTGTTAAAAAAAAAAAAAAATCTTGTTTAGAAAATTGTTAGAAGGAAGCATTTATCCTGCCTCCTTTCTATGAACTGAACTATGGAAGACCAAGATATAGTAAATGAGGGCAAAGTTGAGCAACACTGTCCCATAAAACTTTCTGGAATATGGAGGATGTTCTGTATACATGTGGTCCATTTGTAATACCTGGATTAGTGTGGTTGAGAAAATAAGGT